TGGTCTTAATTCTGGATTATTGTAGAAGCCTCTTACTTGGTCTTTCTGCTAACAGTCACTTCCCATCTCAACCCGTGCTTACTAACAGCTCCCCAGAGTTGTGAGCTGGTAAAAACCTGCTCTGATTTTAAATCCTTCCCTGTATCTCTTCGTGATCAGACCCCCGGCCAACCCAGGCCGGCCTTTGAGCCCACCACACTCTCCAATGCATTCTACATTGCAGCCATGCCTCCATGTCGTTGTGCATGCTGGTCACACTTCAGGACTCTCCTTTTTCACCAAACAAATTCTATCCATTCTTCAAGACCCAGCTCAAGCATCATTTCCTCTGTGAGGTCTTCCCAGGTCCACACAAAGTGATTACTGCAATTGCTTCTTGTATAATCTCATAGATCTATAAACATACCTTTGTCACAGCACTTCTCACACTGCATCGTGATCATTTGCTTGTGCCTGTCACCCCAACAAAATGAGAGTCTCCTGAAGAGCAGGATAAGTGGTTCATTCTACAACCCATTCAATAAATAGGAGCTCAGAGTCCTGACTCTGCCATTTACAAGTTGGGGGAACACAGACAAGATCCTTAACATCTTTGGTCCTCAGCTTTCTCATATGTAAAGGGGGGTAGTGATAGAATGTAATTAATGATGCTATTATAAACAATAAATACAATAACACAGGTACAGCCCTTAACATAATACTCCTATGTAGTTAATGCTGGGTGATGGGTATTATCATTATATTAGTACTGTGTGCCAAGCACGTACTAAGTGCAAGGGCAACTAAGGCCTACACTCAAGGGCCTTAGAGCACAACTAAAGAGACAGACAACCAGTGCAACCTCAGAGGACACAGAGGATGCCATGAGAGCTCAAGATGGGGCACCTGCTGTTGAGGCTAAAAGTCATTCCTGGGGGAAAGGTTGAAAGGGGATGAATCTGGAACCAGAGAGGCCAGGTACGGTCTACTGACGTGCTCCAGGTGAGACGTGGTACTAGCCTGCACTAGAGCAACAGTGGAAAGGCAGGAAGGGGACGAAGTTTGAAGACATCACTGAATGAATGATGAGATGCTGGGGGTCCCTGCAGGGGGTCCATGTGCTCTGAGTGAGCACAGGTGGGCAAAAGGGGTACCTGGATTCATGAGCTATCAATACATTGGTTTTAACTGAAACCGTGAGAGAGCATGTGATTCCCCAGGCAGAGTGCATGGATGAGCCAAGCAGGGTACTGCCAGGTGCACTGGCGCTAGAGTGGCTGTGAAGATCGGCCGGACCACATATGTAGATAGAACGGAGCCTGCACCAAGAAGCGTCCTCGTAGTTTCAGAGAAGACAGGCTCCTTCATCCCTCTTGGTTTGGTGCACGCTCCCAGGGGAGCCCCCCTTTTACAGATATGCCCTGACCACTGCCTGTATCCCAAGCCCTGGCCAGGTGCTGTGTGTAACCGAAGCTTCGGAGCCAGATTCCCACACGCCACACACCCAGCCCAGAGAGGCTTCTTGGAGAGGTCATGTCATCCTCCTGCACACGTTGCCTTCGGACTCCCAAAGGCTCTCTTCTTAAAATCCCCAACAAAAAAACCACATCAGGAGTATCTGCTCAATTACCCGTGGCAGAGGTGAGGGGTCCTCCCTGCTGAGACTAGAATCCCAGTCCCATGAGGTCATCGAACAGTTGGCCAGAGGTCTTGGGCAGCAGTGGCTGAAGCCCCTGCACACTGTCTGGGATGGTGGCCAGGTTGGGGAGGGTGGACGGGGCGGAATGAGAAGGTGATTGTTTATAACAACCCAAGGGTGCAGCTAAAATCTCATCAGCCTCCAGCCATTCCCTATGACAATATTTTCACCCTTTTCCCAAGTCCAATTTTTAATGAGGAGATTCCCTTCTCTCTTCATCTCCCTTTATCTTGCCCTTTCTGCCAAAATTTGCTCCTTCGGAAACAAACAGTTCTGTTTCTTCTTTGGAATGCCTCTGGAGGCCAGGAACTCTCACCTCCTCCTTAACAATGTTCCGGTCAGTGCTTGGAATGTGATTTACGTTACTGACCGCAGCGCATGAGAGCAAAACAAAGGGAGCACAGCCGGACGAGCACCCGAGCACCCGGGCAGCCTGCGGTGCCTGCAGGGCAGGGGAAGGGAGAGGGCCGAGTGCTAGCGCTGCTGCTCCTCCTTCTTCGGTCTCGTGCTTGGTGCAGGGGAGGTATCGTGGCAACCCTCCTGCAGCTGCCATGGGTGGGGGTGACACCGTGGCCATGGCATCTGAAGAGCCTGAAGGGAGCCGTTCCGCTCCTCTGGGATTTGTTGCAGAGATCGCAAGCTTCGGGGCTGACTCACCGCCAAAGGCTGGACGCAAGCCAAGGAGCAACGGCAAGACTCCCGGGTCACACGCGCTGCCCGGGCCGTGCCAGCTCAGCCTGCTGGGGCCAGCCAGGGCTGCTAGGCACGTAGAGTGCAACCCAGGGGCGAGACCTTCTTACAATTATTGAGGCTTTTCTCACTGGGTCAAGAACGCTTTCCCCTCCCTTGGATGGATTACAAAGCAAATTGTCCCTGCCTCTCTTCAAAGGCCCGTGAGGTTAGGCAACTGCTCCTTCCTTCCCCAGAAAGCTTAAATATACAGGCAGCCTTCTTGCCCTCTGTAACCTTACCTGGAGCTCTTCTGCCCCTCCGTGCTGGGTCTCCAGATGGGACCCTGCCTCCTCTGCCTCCTCTTTTATTTGCTGACCCCCCGGCCAGCCCAGGGGACCTTTTCCTTAGAAAGGCTTTACTGGCAGTGGCTACAATAGAAACCAGAAGGGTAACAGAAGTAACCCCAGGAATGTGACAACGTTTTGGGCAATTTCACAAAGATCTTACAGTTGCTGACTTCAGCTTAGACATCAAGCCATATCCCTCCAGGTCCCTTCCAGGCCTCCAGCTAGCTCACAGAGTCACATAAACTCTTTTGGCTATTTCCTCTTTCTTCCAGAACTTTCTATCAAGTGCTGAAGCTTTGTCCAAGCACCCTGCTGAGACCCCTCACCCACTGCCTCAAGGGACAGCTCTCCCAGCTCATAAGGACGTCATTTCCCCGAGGCCTCACCCTGCAGGAAAATACAGGGGGGAAACCTATTCCTCTCTGAACCCCAAACTGAAACCAAACAGTCAGCTACCAAAGCCTAAACCATAACTGTGCCCGGAACCCCAGAGTGTTAAAGCTGAAAGCGCCCTTAAAAAAACATTAAATCTACCTTTCCCACCTTGCAGATAGGAAGTGAGGTTCCAAGAGAAGATCCTGGGCCTGGGACCAACGCAAGTTTCTAGATGTTTTTTAAAATGCTTCACACCCTCCACCACGCCTGTGTATTTGCTAAAATTGCCAGGTTAAAACAGAACTAGGAAGAGGGAAACACTCTCCAAAGAGAGTGAAACTTTCCCTCAGAAATTGTGGGTTCCTCTTAAGGCAGGGGGCTGGACCCCTCTGGCCTCTTTGTGCCTCACCCGTCCCCAAGGTGCAGCCCCAGAGCCCCTCCCTCAGGCACTGCGCACCTGCTCCGCCGGCCCCCAGGCCCCGTCCCTTTAACAGAGCTGCTGTCTCATTCTTCAGTCCCAGCTCAGGGGCCCCATCCTCTGAGCCTTTTCCCCAGTTCTTCCGCTAACACCCAGACCCAGGTTCTCTTCTTAGCCGCTGTTGGCATCTTCTTCTTCGCACTTCCCACCACCTGTCATGACCCTGTCTCTCCGATCGTTGACCTGAGCTCTGCCCCTCGGCCACCTGGGAGCCCATAGGACCGGGACTGCACCCGTCACAGTCACTGCTGCCTGCGTAGCTCCTAGCACCGTGGCTGCCACGAGATGGCTTTCCGTGAACGCAGGGAATGCATAATGAAGGAGATGAAGTCACAGAGGCAAGACACGGGTGTTAAATACTTACGACTTTATTAGGAGCAGGCTGTTGTCACCTCAGCAGCCAGCTCCCACGTATACACAGTATACACGGCCCAGCAAGCACCCAGGTCCTCCGTCCCTCTGCAGGACATGGAATGCAAAAGAACGAAACACAGAGGGGTGGGGTCTCCCGATGACGGGGTCTAGTGCCGTCAGGAGCCAACTCCCACGCTGGGGACGCTCAGGTCTCTCAAACTGTCCTCAGCTTCTTCCAGCCCCCGACTCCAGTATGACAAGGTCCATAAGGGTGAGTTTGGGTCAGGCTCCTCCAATCAGTGCATGTGACAGGCAGCGGAGGCCAGGGAATCTTGAGCCCAAAGCCGTGTTGGTCCCCACCCCAGTGAAGAAGCTGCTGGAGCTCCCAGAATGTTCTTCTCCAATAGACATGACAGACCCCCTTGACTTTTTATTGCATCGCCAGAAACCTGTGCTTTCAGTCTCCTTTCTGGATTAACAAAATGTTCAAAGACAAGACAAATATCCCAAGTTGTCTTGGTCATACTTCTTTTAAAAAGGAAAAAAGAAAAGAAAAAACACCACAACAGAAAAAAACATTGAGGCCTGGCTTGTGTCAGGAGCAAGAGTGGTTGTTCTTCCTTGAAATGGTTTGTAAAGTGACTGATGGCAGAAGCCGCTCTGCTGGGGCCAGCCACCCCCTGACAGCACCTCCCTCCCACCCTCTCTTTTCCCCTGCCCACTCTGCACAGCCCCCGTGCTCCCTCCTCCCCACAGAGGGGAGCGCCAAGCCCAGGGCACAGTGCTGTCGTCGGCTGGCAGAGCTCTGCTTCCACCTGGTGCCCTGGGTCCCTTTTGTCCCTGCAGCCACCGTGCTCACTGGTGCAGGGGGACTCCCCCTCGATCCAGCCTTCAGGGGAGACTGCAGCCCCGCCTCAGAGATCTGCATGGCCCCAGCCTCTGCAAGAGCTCTGTCCAACGGCTCCAGCCCAGGACTCAACAGGTAAAAACATGAGAACACCATCCCAGAGGGCTGGCTGGCTTGGTGGATGGTTGGTTTGTGGATTTTGACTATAAGGGAAAACCACATCAAAGGACTGATCTCCACCCCCCACCCCCCACCCCTCACCCCCCAAGGAAGACACATGCTTTGAAGTTATCTCAGTGAAGTTCTCCACTGAGATCCTGGACTCATGACCTACACTCAGAAGAAAAATGTCCCATGTCCACACTGGGATCTGCACCTTCAAGAAATACCCTGCTTGGCCAAAGGAGCTCTAATCTCAAAGTATCTCCCCACTTGGAGCGATAGGAAATGTCCGGGTTTCTACTCCCCTGCCAGATCTAGAAGACAGACAAGTCTCTGGCAGTTCCCCTGGGTCAAGTCATTGATTCTTGGTGCCTCCTGAAACCTGCTCCCAAGAAACCTGAAGAGAGAGACCCTGTCTTCATGTCTGGGGCCCCAGCAGGTGGCCAGGCTGTGGGAGCAGGAAGCTGAGCTCACGTACTTCTCTCTGGGGCGGAGCAGCAGTTCAGTCTATGAAGATGACAGCTGGGTGTGGTGAAAGGACCAGGGCGCTACTGTCCCGGGGGAGGGACAGGGGTGGGTTCCCAGAGAGAATAATCTGAGGTAGCGAACAGTGAACCCCATCTCCAAGGCCTGGGGAGGATGCAGCGTGACGTGCCTGAAGCAGACCGCAGTGGCTGTCGGGATGGAGACGCGTTTGCAGGCACGTCAGCACTTGGCCCTCCAAGGCACGTCCCCTTGCGGTAGGTACAGGACTGTGGCCACTTTGGGGGTTCTCCGCAGCAACGCAGAGCCTACAGCACCAGCCTCGTTTATACCTGCCTCTCTGGAGGAGGAAATCATTAGAACCGGCACCTCCTCCTCCCTATCCATAGTGATACCCCCCAAAGCCAGGCCCACAGCTCACCATCTACCACCCTAACTCCAGGGACAGCAGAACACTCCAGATCTTTCCTCAAACTCCCTGCCTCAGCCACAGAATCCATCACCTTCTAAGCGTCAGCGTCTTTTGTCATGGCGGCTCTCTCTTAAAGAAGGCGGCTGCTCCCTGCTGACTTCCTCCCTGCAGAGCTGGGAGGACACCTAAGTGGCCGTCTTCCCACCAGTCCTAAGGCCTGGACATGAGAGGGAGGAGAGGCTGATCCTTAAGGGAGGGTCAAGAGTAGAAGATGAGAAATCGCGGGACTCCCTGGGCTCACCCACCTCTTCCCAAACGCAGTGGCCAGCTCCAGTGCCACCGGACCTCACTCTCCCTTCGGCTCCATCCCACCCGGCCAGTTTTCACTGTTCAGTCCGTGTCCGTCAGCAAAGAAAAGTGGGCTAAAAGCACCATGAAAACCCTGCCTTGTTCAGAGACGGCTCAGAGCTCCGGGGCTGCCCAAGGGTGCTGAGCTGCTGGGCCATGGCTCTTCCAGCAGCCTGTACATCCCAGACGGGGTCCCTGAAGTACTGCCTGGGAGGTGCCCATCCTCCAGGTCCCTCGGAAACTGGGCCTCAGCACCTCTGCCAGCACCTGCACCTCTCCCGGCAACTGGGCCCGGCGGAGCGGGCCTGAGGTAGACTGTGCATTGGTTAGCTCCCCCGGCCAGGCCAGGAGGATGAGGGAACCTCTCACCCCAGCCCACGGTCCTTGTCCCTGGATGTGGGTGACGTCGTGGCGTGAGCCCCTGGCCACCATCCTCTGCCCACTGCTCCAGCTGGCTGGAACCAGCACACCAGTGGGGCAGAGAGTGAGGGGGAGAAAGGGGCGCCCCACTCAGCATGGTCTCAAGCTGCAGAAGTCTAGTTCCTGGGGCTTGCGGCGCAGGTTGCACTGGTCCCGGGCCAGCAGCCGGCCTCCGTGGCCCACACACTTGAGTGGACGCCTCTTAAATCCCCGGCCACAGCTCTTGGAGCAGTGCGACCAGGCACCGAGCTCCCAGGTCGGGCAGGGCTCCCCACAGGCCCGCGTCTCCACTGGCCGGTGGGCTGCCTCGCAGGCAGAGGCCACGCGCTGCCCGGGGGAGCCGCGGCAGTCCACGGCCCGCCTCTGCAGGCCACTGCCACAGCTCACAGAGCAGGGCCCCCAGCTGCCGGCCACCCAGCGCGCCGGGGGTCTGTCATCCGGCTGCTCCACCTGGTTGGAGAGGCTGAGGACGCTGTTGTGCAGCACAGAGGGGCCCCGGGGGTCCTTGGGGTGGGAGGACTTGTCCTCCTGAGGCTCTTTGGGCAGATAGAAGGAGTAGCGGACCCGGGGTGGCGTCATCTTCCCCACGGAGAGGACCTCCACGGTCAGGGGCTCCAGGATGGGCCCCGAAGCCTGCAGGCTCTCCACCGCCGTGCCCGTGCCGCTGTAGCGCAGCAGGCTGCCCTTCACCACCAGGTCCCGCTCCACCGCCGACACCACGAAGTGCCCGTTGAGCAGGTACTTGCCTTGGCTGTTCTTCAGGGCCAGGTAGTTGTCGTCCCCAATCAGCCCCTTGTAGCCGCGCTGGCGGATGTCGATGCTCGAGGCGCCTGCAGGGATGGCCACCACGAAGTTGTAGCCGTGCCTGGGGTCAGAAAGGGGGACTGTGTGTCAGACCGAGCGTGGGCATAGGGCCTCACACTCCAAGATCTTTGTTCTTCAGCAGATTTATCTTTTGGCGAAGTCTAGCATGGGAGTAAAAGCACAGGTTTTGGAGTCAGGGAGATTCCTGCTCCTTGCTTAGCGGTTGGTCTCAGATAAGTCACGTGGCTTTTCCAAGCCTCCGTTTCCTCACCTGTCATATGTAGCTCGTAATCACACATAGGATTGTAAGGAGGACTAAATAAGCTGCAGCACATAAGCATGTAGCACAGTGCCTGGCACACAGCGAGGACCCCACAGACAGCAGCCATGGATGGGGCAGGAAGGGAAGGAAATCAGTCGCTGGTCCCCAAGCCCAAGGCTGGGAGCTCAGTGCGGGGGAAGTGCAAGGCCCTGGAGGCAGGAATGGAACTCAGCCTCGGTTCAGACACCAATACCCTGGTGACTGTAAGCCACTCAGTGTCTCTGCATTCCAGTGTCCTCCTCTGTACCATGAGTGGGTTAAGCTAGATGACTTCTAAGGCTCCTGCCAGCTCCAACAGGCTGTGAAAGGAACATGTGCCCCTAACAGTGAAGCAAGTCTGGGGCATGTGCCTTTCACTCCCCAGGTGTCCTCCCCACTACAGGTCCCTATGAAGGGTGGCCTGGAATGCCAACTGTCTACAGCACTTGAGCTCCCAGAGAAGGGGCTGGGTGTCCTCCCTGTGTGTCACCCACCTAGGGGCTCCATAGAGGTGTCAAGTCCAGGGGGATAGTCAAGGCTCAGGGACAGACATCTTGGCCTTCCTATGGTCAGCACCTGGACTCCCAAGTTTTCAGAGCCAACCCCCAACTGGGACCTAAGTTGCCCTGCCTGCCCCCACTTCTTCCAGAACTTGGGTCAGGACTTTCCAAAGGGAATGTGCTTGACCTTAGAAAGCTAAGCCGGGGAGCCCCAGACACTGGAGCTTGGGCTACAAGAGGCCCATGGACATCTCCCAGGAAGTGGAGGCCCTTTCAGTCCCAACCTCTCACCAGCTGTCCCTTGGCAATTTATTGCCATCTCACCTCAATCCCATCCCCAAGGGCAGGGCCTCAGACCCAGGGAGAGGGTGGTGGGCTGTCAGGTTCAGCCTCATCATCATCATGATGATGGACAGGTATTAAGCATTTATTATGCACCAGGTACTATGTGAACCATTTTAGTTGGACCAACTCCCTTCCTCCTCCCAAGAGCACATGTGAAATACATTAGAATTACACCCACTTTACAAGTGAGAACTCTAGAAGTCTAGAGACTGAGTTACTTGCCCAAGGTCAAGCAGAAAATGGGGAATTAAGCTCTGAATGCCAGTCTTACTCTAGAGAGACCCTATGCTAGAGAGACCCTAACGACTCTGCCATCTCCCTTAATATCATTTGCTAGGTGGGTCCCACTGGGGCATTTGTCTTTGCATTCATGTTGGTTTGCTGAATGAAGAAACGAGTGAGTGAGTGAGTGAGTGAGTGAACGTCAACCCTAGAACAGGATGAGTGGCCTCCACAGCAAGGGCCCAGGCCAGGATCTGACATTCACTCCCTATAACCTGAGCTTCCAAGGCCCAGAGGGAACTCCACTCACCCCTCCTGCCTGCTCCCTGGCGGTACCCTCCAGGACCCAGACTCACATGGGCTTGGTGAAGACTCCGGTCACCTTCTTGCAGCTCTTGTTGTCTCCCCCGCACACCCCACACTTGTCAAACCTCTTCTTGGAGCCCAGGTTGCCGTCGCAGCCAGCCTTGATGCACTTGCCTTGGACACAGACGGAGGTAGAGTCAGGAGTACACGGCGTACCGTCCACCACCTGCAGCACCCAGGAGGGAAGAGAAGGAAGAGCTGGGCAGCTCAGCCGGCGGCTCTCCCAAAGACCTGCTCCCTGCCCGGCTCTCCAGCCCGCAGCGCACTCACCTTGGGTGCCAGCACATAGAAGTAGCCGGTGCCGTTGGCTCGGCAGATGAGCTTGCACTTGTCCCGGGGAGACACGCCTGAGTACTTGGGCACCCAGGCCACGGCGAGAGTGAGCCGGTTAGTGCTGTGGTTGTAGCCATTGAAAGCCTCACACTGCTCCTCCCGGAAGCTCTTTCCAGAGGCTGGGGAGGGAGGAAGCATGAGAAGGAGGCTAAAGGCAGTGACCTGAGGGGTGCAAAGGAGAGTCTCCCTCCCAGGGGACCCCGCCTGCCAGGCTCGGGACAGCCCTCTCCACCCTTGGTGGTTTGATGTCCCTCTGCGAAGCTATGACATGCCCATCTCCAAGGACTAAGCAGGCTGGAACCAAAGCATGCAGGGCACCAACCGAAACACATCCTTCGAGCAGTATCTCCCTCCTCCGGTGACCTAGCCTGCAACTCCCTCCAGGGCAGGTTTCCTAAACATTTTTCATGCTATGGAATCTTTCAGTGGTCTGTTGAGACTATTTTCAGACTAATGTTATTTAATGCATAAAATAAATTATATATATTTACAAAGCATATCAATTCTATTGATATGTAACTATCAATGTATTTTGAAACAAATCTGTGATATATGTGCCTCTTTATTAATGCATTAAATAACAAGATTCAATAATGAATCTAATTACTGCAATTTTGAAGTAGGGATGAGCTTAAGTGGCATTTTGAGAATTCTGCAACAACTGAAAAGTCATATGAAAATATCCACGATTCCTATTGGTGACATAGTCACAGGTACTCCTAACACTGTTGTAGTTTGTTGCCTAACTAAAGAAAATACTAAATTTTAGATGGAAAGATTAGTAAAAATAAAGATGTAGTTTTTTCCTCACCAAGTGCCCTTTTCGGGACTTAGCTACGAGGGCTTGTAGGGTTTCGCTCCCTTGAGTCTTTCAGTCTCCAAATCTGTGCCTCAGGAAGGACACACCCTTGACAAAGGTGAGCAGATGCAGGAATGGTCCCGAGAGGAATATGCACCTCTCCACTCCCAGGATTTGTCTTGGGGTTGGAATCTCGAGTAGTCCTTTTGTGGCCATGAATTACCCAGAGTTTTGGAGGTGGGGGCCTCCAACCTTGCCTCCCCTGGGCCCAGGCTGCTGCTGCCCTCCCCTCCTCACCTGAGCTGGGGCAGGGCTCCAGGTTGCAGGATCGGTATTTCACCCTCACTCCCTCGCAGTACTTGCCCCCGTTGGCAGGGGTGGGGCTGCTGCACTGCCTCCGGGCCAGCTGCACACCCCCGCCACAGGTGCGCGAGCAGGGCCCGTAGGCCTCCCATTTGGCCCAGGAGCCGTCCACCTGCGAGGAAGAGCCTGTTATACTCCTCAGCGGTCCAGGTGCCACACCAGCCCCTTAGCTGGTAGAAAAGCTGCACTGGCACAGCCTCCAAGCTCCCATCCTGCCCCACCAGAATCAATTCACTTTGTACCGAGAGGGAAAAAATGATACGCAAATGGTCAGCGTGCACAGGGCCCGCACTGCAACAGATCAATTAGCAAATACACCTGCTCCTAGGCACAAATGAGGCTGCTCAAAAGAGAGAGGCCTCATGGGCTACGGAGTGAGGCACACAAGTTTCATGCTGACCTCTGCCCTCACCACACCATGTGACCAGGCTTGAGCAAGTGGGCAATGGCCTCAGGTTGCAGGCAATACTCAGATCTGAGGTGACGGAAGACAGGAATGATGCAGGAAAAGGCCTAGCACCACGTACCCCGTGCAGGGGTTCAAAGGGCGCCCATATCTACTGTCAGCTCATTCACAGGAGTCTCAGCCCCCGGCCTCGCCAGTATACAATGCCACCTGAGATATCCGCGTGTTTTTATTTGTGAATGTTCTATAACTCAGACTTTATACCAGACCAAACTGATCTTAACCAGAAGCTGCACTTGGGAAAGTGTCACTATAAGCCATTCTACTGTTTAAGAGGAGACACAAATAAGACGCTATTAAGAAATTCTAAAGGTCTGTCTATTTAGCTTTGAGGTGAATTATGCAGTGGGTTTTTTTTTTTTTAGAGGATAGAGAGGGGATAGAAAATTTACAGCCATCATGATGTTTTTCTCAGACAACACTAAAAGGAGTTTTCACCCCCTGAACACACGTCAGTTGGGCAATAGAGGGAAAGCCCAGGTGTAAAAGCCTGGGCTTAAACCTGCGTCACGGATCACCCATAAAGTGACGAACACGGGGCTAACCGGGCACTGGCCGCACGGAATGTGAATGCTTTGACTATGTCCATGTTCAGCATGTTTATTCCATCTGTCCTGTCAGTTCATTCCTGCCTCACTGCGTCAACATGTCTCTGTGATGCCGTAAAAACAACCACCACTCTCCCTTCACCCTGCTTTCTCCTCACACTGGGGTCCCGCCTCATTCCATCCGCTCACTCCCTGAGTCGGCCACATTTGCTCCTTCCACGTCCTCGCTCCGCGGCGCCTCGCAATGCGGTTCTGAGGAGCCGCCCTCCATCTCGCCACAGGAGCCGCCCTCCCGAGAGGCAGCCACGGCCATCGGAGGCCTGCGAGTCGTGCCGAGGCCTCGTTCTCTCCAACTCTGCAGTACTCAACGCTGTTCCTGTGCTTCTGAGACAATGCCACTTGTTTTTTACCTGGAATCATTTCTTCCCACCCACTCGTAGGAAAAACATTCGTGTGCCCCTGCCCTGTGGCATTCGTTCAGTCATTCAGCCAACATCTGCTGAGCTCTCGCTACATGCCCGACGCCGCTCGCAGCAAGTCCCTGCCCTCAGCGCCATTACATCCCACTGGGGGAGAAGAAGATAAATAACTAAGCCAGTGCGTGCAGAGAGTTGGAAGGGGTTAAAAGCAGGCGGGTGAGGGTTGGGAAGGGCCTCCGTGAGGTGGACTGCTCTGACGCGGGCTCGGGGAGAGCCCCCTTTGCAGAGGCCTGAGGGCAGCCGGTGTGGGCCACGCGTCAGGGCAGAGCGAGGGAGCAAGACCCTGGAGAGGGCAGGCCTGGAGTGCTCCAGCCTCTCCAGACAGCGCGAGCCAGGTGGAGGACCAGGACATGAGGGCAGAGATGGGGCCAGGCCCCGAAGGGGTCCCAGCAGAGAAGTGGCATAATCTACATCCACTTGGAAAGGGTCTCTCAGGCAGCCACGGTGGGCACAGTCAGTAAGGAGGAGATCAGAGGCTGGGAGGCCCGCTCGGGAGCCACTGTGGTGGCCCAGGGCAGGGGTGGCGGCTTCAGCAGGGCGAAGCAGCTGCAGTGGGGAGAAATGGTTGGATTCGGGATCTGCTCTGAACAGGGACTGCGGAGACGCCGGATGTGGGTGTGTGAGAGAAGAAGGGTTTGGGCACGAGCAACTGGGATGTGGGGGACAAGGCAGGTTCGGGGGAGCCGACGAGGAGCTCAGTTTTGCAGATGCCGTGTTCGGGATGCATGTCAGGGGAGACATCCAGGTTCACCTGCACACACCACTCTGCCGTTAGGGAGAGAGGTGCGGGCTGCAGGTGCCAATGTGGGAGACTTCAAGCTCTAAAGGGCACTTAAAGCCACGGTCTAGACGTCTCACCTGAGAGATCGGGTGTGCAGAGTGAGAAGGGTAGGGACTGAGCCGCGGAGCACCCGGCCGCCAGACAGCGAGAGAGTGAGGCAGGGTGGTCAGGGAGACTGAGGGGCAGTGTTGGGGGCCAGTGGGCCTGGCTGCAGGGCAGAGAGGCACGGGGGCCTCAAATGCTGCTAGCAGGTCGGGCAAGGTGAGGAAAGGGAACAGGCACTGCCCTTAGCACCGTGGAGGCCCTCGGGTGGCCTTCATGAGAGTTATTTTGGAGGAACAGTGGGAGGGAAAGCCTGACAGTGGCTCCAGAGCAGAGTGGGAAGGCAGGGGCTGGGGACAGCGAGCTGCCTCAGCTCTTGCAGAGAGCGCGGCCGTGAGGGCAGTCTGAGAAACAGACCTCGGACCGTGCAGGGGAAGTGGGATCTGGAGAAGTGTCGTGTAAGGCAGGAGAAATGACGGCAGGTGTGGATCCTGACGGGCATGAGGCAACTCAAGAGCGGAGAGACGGGCACTGCAGGGGAGAGAGCTGATGAGTGACGTCCTAGAACAGGTGAGAGGTCGAGAGAGGGGCCAGAGTTCTAGTGCAGAGCACACGGCAGGGCCCCGCACCCGCGCCCGGGCAATTCGCCCGCTGTGAGGGCGAGCGTGGGGAATGTGGGCATGCAAGCGGGTCGGACGGAAAAAGGAGCAGATCGCTTCTTTTTCCTTAGTGAAATAGGAATAAAGGTCCCCAGCAGGAGTTGGACACGCAGAGGAGCGTGCTGGTCACAGGAGGAGAGAGGGGAAGCGTGAACTATGGTTTAGGAGGTCGGGCGAGTGCGTGGATTCGGGAAATGAAATGTGAGACTCCCGGCAGCATCATGGCCACCTAGTTTCCAAGTCACAAATTTAAACTGAGACCAGTGAGCACAATTGCACGTGTCCTTCTAGCCATATCCTCCCGTGCGGGTACAATTGAGCAGGTGAGTTGGAGTCAAGCCAGGTGGCGGCTTGTCTAAGTGAGTGTGATGCAGAGGGACAGGGACAAGTGAGTCGGGAGTGCGTGTGAGGGGCAGCCTTAACAAAGGACCGTGCAGCCTCAGCTCACTCGGGACGAGACGAGGCCCTGCGGAGAGTGAGAGGAACGGGGAGACTGGGAGACGGTCACATCGGTGGATTGTGGGCCCAGAGGGGACGGAAGGACTGTTGGATCCAGAACCTAGAGGGGGTGGGCCGGGAAGGAGGGCCTTGGAGATCAGAGTGGGATCTTTGGAACTGAGACCCCTGGGGGCTGCAGTGATTTGTAAGATCACTTGGTGATTTGACCTGGCCAATCACGGCAGTGTCCTCTGGGAGGGGCCAAGTTTCAGTTCAAACAAGGTAGCGGAGGGACTGCCCAGAACAGAGGTTGAAGACATAGTGGGCTTTGCTGATGATAGGCTGAGAATTCCAGGAAGTGCATGGAAAGACGGTGCCTCTCAGCCCATTTCCTGCATCCACACCCTCTCAGCTAGCCTCTGCATCCTCCAGCCCCGTCTTCCCAAGACGAGGCGCTGGCCAGGACCCGCCTGTCCCCAGGACCTCCCAGGGCAAACATCAGCCCAGCAGTCCAGGCACTGTGGTCTGGCCCCAAATGACCTTCCCAGAGATGTTTCCCACCCAGCCCTCCCAGGAGCCCCTGCCTCGCTCCATCTCTGCACGTGGAGATCCAACTCTTCCCTTGGGCTCCCGTCACATCCAACCTGCTCCTCAGCATCTTCGCAGTCCTCTCAAATCGTCACTCATGTCTCAACCCGTTCACCCGCGACCTGCTCCCGTGCTCTGGCCTAGCACACGACACACGCCTCTGTGCCTTGCGTGACAATTACATCTCCAGCTACCCGGGACTGAGCCCCTGAGGCACGGCCTGTGTTTACTTCTGCTTCTGACCTCCACAGTGTCTTACACAGTCCCTGAACACAGGGGTTGTTGCCCAGTCGATGGTCGAAGGTTTAATTAAATATACATTCCCAGGACACAGAAAAAGATTTAAATACTTCTGCACCACCCCCACCTCAAGGCAATTGATGAGGCGCTTGGTGAATGCTTTTTACAATATCGCCTCTGTGCCCATAAAACTCTGAACCAAGTCCTCCCTGGGCTGGGGACAGCGGAGGGGAAGGGCCAGTCACCTGCAGGATCGAGGAGGAGGAAGGACTTCTCATGCCCCCCTGGAAAAGTATAAATGCCTGTGCTAGCCCCAAACAAGCCCTGAGGATATGAAGTTTTTATTCTATTCAGCTCTGAATTTGTTCTGGTTTAATTGCTATTCCTATGTATCAGAGAGGAAAAAATTTTGTTCAATTATGTTTCAATGAAAAAAAAACAACAACAACAAAGAAACTGAAGCCTGGTTCAGCACGTGGCAAGCTGCAGAAGCCTGCCCCAGTCGCCTTGCGTTTCAGGCCTAGCCCTGTTTGCCCTTGTGGCCCCAGCTCCCCGGTGTGGAGCGTGCTCAGAGAGGTTGCGAAGGGAAGACAGGAGGGGGCCAGTGGGTAAGCCACTCCTAATGTCAGGGGTTCAGCTGTGGGACCCGAGCTCGTCCCCGGGCAGAACGAGGCACAGAGCTTGGGGCTGAGACCACCTCCTGAAGGCTGTTCCCATGTGTCCAAGGCCTCACCAGGTTCTGTGACCTGCCACAGCTTTGCTCTCCAGTCTCAAGAGTAGCGAAGGGGACAGAACCATAGACAGGCAACAGAGTCACAGCACAGCAGTGCGACACAGTGATGATCACACAGCCAGTCTGTGATGGGCGCCTCCCAGTGGAGGCCAGGGGCAGGGGAGGCCCCAGGTCCACAGCCTCCCCCAGCAGTCCCACGCGCGGGCTCTGCCCGACTCACCCTGTACTTGCTGAGGTTGTGTCTCTCCACGCAGGCCCCCTTGAGGCAGAACTTGCCCTCGCCACAGCTGGTGCCGTCTGCCCAGGGGAAGTGGCGGGTCTGGCACACCATCTGCCCCTTGGCCTTGCCGGTGCACCACAGCTTGGTGCAGTACTGCATGTAAGGACAGGGCTTGGAGCCCACGCCAAAGGCCAGCTCACACTGCTGGCTCAGGGTGTAGCTGGCACCCGGCAGGTCCTCGGGCAGGGAGATGGGCTTGCTGGGCTGGTCCAGGAGGCAGTCGCCTGCAGAGAGCCACGGACATTCCTTAGGATGGGCTGGGAAGGTGAGGTTTGCCTAGCCCAGAACCCAAGTGGCAGGGAGAGAATGGACCAAGGAGCCACCGGAATGGACTCATGTCAGAGCCCAACTCCTAGGGGCCTACGCACACCTCAGGTACAGAGGACAGGCTGCACCTCCACCAGGGACAGCAGCGAAGCCCCTTCCCAGCCGGCCTTGCTCCTTCCGCCGCCCTGGCTCACCGTGCCCACTGTCCAGGAAGTCGGTGACAATGGCAGCGCTGCAGGCGGACCAGGGGTTGGCGCGGTCGATCTGGATGAGGGTCGGGGACATCATGTGGTTGGCTCGGAGCTTCCCAAACACCTCCTCGCACACCTTCACGTTGTCGTGGGGCATGTTGAAGACGTGGCCTGTGGGGCGAGGCAGGAGCACTCAGCGGGCAGCGGCCGGCTGTGCGGGAAGGCCGCAGGGCGGGTGAACGTTGCGGGAGGATCTTGGGGAAGAAAGCTCAAGAGCCCGTGTCCGCGGTTTTCAGGCTGGGGTCGTTTCCACCTATCGACAGACTGCTTTGCAAATGTCCTCAAGGTCATGCCCCTGTGGTTTCTGTCCCCTCCACCAGGCTGTGGGCTCCATGGGGACAGGGTGTGTCTCCTTGTCATTGACATATTCTCCCCATGGTGCCTAAGTGACGAGCCACTCTGCAGAGGTGCTCAGATCACATCACAGCCAACTGGGCTAGAAGAAACGAAACGAAGCCACCGTCCACGCAGACTCAGACCCCAAGAAAGGGGCCCTAGGGCTTCAGAGCAAGAGGGAGCAAAGACCCGCGTCCTCCCACCTGTGCAAACCCGCAAGGGCCCCGGGGGCAGCCTTCCTCCCCTCCGCCCGAGAGCCCGCTGAAGCCTTACCCAGCTCGTGGGCGGTGGTGAAGGCTGACGGGAGCCCATCATCCTCGATGACAGAGCAGCTTCTCTTGGGGTCGCACATGGTGCCCACGTCGGCCATGCCCAGCGTGTCGCACGTGGTGGCTCCACACAGGTCCTACCGGGTGGGGACAAGCAGAAGCCAGCCCAAAGTTAGAGAGTGACAGAAGGGACCTGAAGGGAAGAAAGGGCATCCTAGGGACATTCCAGTCCCTCCCATCCTCACCAGGCCCAGCCCCGACCTTCTCCCCAGGGGGGTGTGGGCATCCACGGAACCACCGGGCTGAGGGAGGAGGCCTCAGGAAGGAAAAGCTCTGCGGCTCCCTGAGAAGTTTCTGCCCAAATCCTACCCAGGGCATTCCTCTGGGAGGAAATTAGGAGGTATGAAATTAGACTACAATGGCCACTGCTTTATATAGACGGCCTTCCAGACTAGAAAAGTGGTTCTGGTCACAGCTCCCGGAGGCAGGTGGGGGTGGAAGGCAACCGCGTTCCCCATCCAGCTCTGAGCAGCCTCGGTCCTTGCCGGGCTGCTCTCAGGACAACCGTGAATTAAGCTGGGATTCTCAGCCAAAGAGCCACTGGCCGAAGACCCACCCCCGCCAGAGGTTTGGCTTCTTCGGGCTGGGAGGAAGCAGAGTGAGGAGGACACGAGCCATCTGGACACAGCTCAGCTGGCTACAGAAGCTCCAAGGGACACGGGCTCGCAGGCTGCTGGGAAGGACAGACGAGTCAAGTAGATCGGAACCCAATCGGGGAGGCCCCTCGTTCTGTACTGAAGTTTAACTTGCTGCAGAAGTGAGGGCTCCGGAGACAAACTCTGGCAGGAAGTGTCTCCAGGGGAGACAGAGGACTTCGGTGGAATTCAGAGGAATGGGGCTTACTGAGAACTTACGGAGCATCACAGGCCACCGACACACCTAGATCCCTTAAGAGCTCACGAGTTGGAAATAGGATGAGACGCTTGTGTACACCCTGCTCCCCTTGAGAAGACGTGTTGAACCGGGGATGCTGGCATTCTCTCCGTGCTATCTCTGCCTTTAATGCACAGGTACTCTACAGTCTACGAGAACTATTGCATGCATCACCGCATCCAATCCTCATGGCAGTCTTATGAGGCAGATATACTGCTATATCTATTTGTCAAAGGTGCAAACTGGATCTCATGGTCATGGTTAATTATGGCCAGGATTTACTAAAGGTGACACTACGCGTGCACTTTGCACGCATGACCCTATTGAATCCTCATGACATCCACTGAAACGACGATGATTATCACTGTCCACAGACTGAAGTTCAGAGAGGTTCAAGTCCCAGGGCAGAAACATGCACTGAGTGTCCGCATGACTGGGAACACGGTGCTCCTTCCCCCATGTCACAGCTACTTGCCCGCAACTGCTGAGACAGCACTCAGAAGAAAGAGCTCTGTCGTTCTCCTGCGAGAGCCAAAGGGTTCACATAAACACACACACACACACACACACACACACAGAGCTATTCTCGATGCTGTTTCTCTTTAGGCCTGCGTGTCTGCACGCGTGTGCGTGTGTGCAGGTCTGCATGCGTGGGCCCATGCTGGCATGGGGTGGAGGTGGCAGCAACACAGCGAGTGGAGCCAGGGAGTATGGGAGGAAAAGCAGCCATAGTACCAAAAATCAGCAAAATTTAATCCAAAGCACTCAGAAGTTTACCGCCTGAGCAGTCAACTTGGCTTCCCACGGTCAGGTGACAGTCACACCTCCTAATAAGCTAACAGTTATTCTAAGGGTGACCAGCCTGAACCCGGGTTCACCGGTGTCAGCAGCAGGCAGCGTGCAAGCCCAGCCCTGGTGGCCGCCTGTGCCTGCCCGGGGCACTTCCCCCTCTCTGGGAACCCCACGGGGGAACCTCAAATGCCCTTCTCTTCCCAGTTTCCCTCCCTCCTCAAAGACTCACTTTCCCAGAAAGCTTGCTTTCCCCAGAGTTCTGAAACCTAGAAAACAGCCACGGTCAAACCTTGGGAGGGGACGCTGGCCTAGCCATCAGTTTAGGGGATGTGGCTGCCGGAGGACACAGCGCAGCTTGTGGGTGGCGGGCCACCATGGGGAAGGAAGGGACGAAGGCGCACAGTGAAGGGGGTGGGCCGCGGGGCCCGTGTGTCCCTAGACACTAGCGTGTAGGGTCCTGGCAAAGGTGAGGTCTCCAGAAATCCGAGCCTGATGGCTGCAGCCCACAGGGGAGCCTGTCCGCCAGGCACACGCCGCCCCGCACGCTCATTGCTGCCCTGTGTAAGGAGGAGGGCACAGGAATAAGAATCGAGAAGCCTAGTTTCTGGTCCAGGCCCCGTCACTAAGTAGATGTGTGACTCAGGCCTAGTCCCTTCTCTCCTCAGGGCCTCAGCTCCCTGGTCTGGGGACAGTCCAACCATCAACTAAAACTGTCCAGTGCTTTAAGCCTCTGCTCCTGCCCCAGTCGCCAGGCACTCAGCCCTCTCTGGCCCTGTGGGTTATAAAAGGGCCCCACAGAGTGAAACACATTTAGAATGGAAAGAACCCTAGGGAAATCTTGCCTACTGCCCCAAGTCATGTAGCTGATAGCACTAACTCCCATATAAGTGCAGGGCACCCACGTGGCGCTTCACCATCCTGGCCCCACCTAGAAATGGCTAGACCCGATTGAGAGCCCAGGGTGGGATCCAAGAGGGCCACAGGGCCGCCCCGCACCCACCACTGTGGCTGGGAAGTCCTGACAGCCAAAAGCCTCCTTCCTCTCAGGGAGGGTGGATTCTCTCCCCGGCAAAGACATGCAGCTGCAGGCCCTTCCTGGCCAGGAGCAACCTGTTCTTTCCATCAAGAAATCCCGGTTTCCCTGGATCAAACAAGAGGAACAAGGAAAGAGCTGGCAGAATTCCTGAGGGTGAGGGTGTAGCTGAGAGCAGCCACCCCGCAGAAATCACTTCCTTCGCTGTGGGAAGATGCAGCTGTCTGGGCCAGGGGCTCTGCCCGGACCTCTCCCCCCAGTCAGGGACTCGGTGCAGAACCGCTGGGCCGGAGTGCCTTGAACGCCTACGAGCGGTTGTACGGGAGCCCAGTGGTGCCTCATCTGTGGCATCAAATGTCTCCACCCTTCTGGAAGGAACTCAGAGGCACTCAAATTGCCTTAACCTCTTCAGCTCAAGCACTTGTCTCCAAAAAACAGACACTGTTCCGGTTCCTTCCTCCTAGAGGGTGTAGGCATTTCCCGGCCCAGCCCCCGCCTGCCTCCCTTTTGCTGACAATTTGCCATTTCTGTGTGTAGCTGCAGCTGCTCTTCCAGATGACCCAAGAATCATCATGGCCAAGAACCTAACACTCCCAGACTATTCTTTTCTAACTGTCCCTTCTTATAAAATAATTTAGGATTGGGGCCACAATTTGAATAAGTACATAAGGATAACACCTCGCAGTGGCCTGATCTGTGCTCCCCAAAGTCACTCCAAACACACCCCCACCGTGACCCCCACCAGCTGCCTTCCCTGCAGACCCCCTTCCCTCTCCCTCTCACTTCCCAGGCCTGTACTGCAATGCTCAATGTTCTCCAGCAGTACAGAGAGAGAGGGACCCATAAAAATAAAGCACATTAAGTTTTTTTTATGTGGCAGAAGATGTATGCATTCTTACATAGCCAATTTCATGCTTCCACTGAAGTCCCAGGCATGAGAGCCACGGCCCATCTTCACGGACATATGACAGCATCCAAGCATTATATGCACAGAACTTCAGAGCTGTCCTCTCAGTTTGCAGATGAGGATACTGAGGCACAATGAGTTAAGATTATGCACCCATGTGGCTGTTAAGTGAAGAATGGGATCCTGCATCCAAAGCTGTGTTCTTTAGTCTAAATCCCACCACACTAGTTACGGTACCGTAATTACTGGTGAAAAGCTCCCTGCGCTAGTAACAATACTGCCCCTTTAACTTGTTTCCCATCTGAACCTCTGCCATGCATCACTGCATTTCCTTGCCAGCCCCAAATCCATTTCTGTTTGTAATCCCCAAGGATGGGAGGATTGCTTTGCTAGAAGAAATAAAATCTAACAACGCAGTGCCTGGGCAATGTGACTAAGGCTGCCTGGTGGAGAAGAAGAAGGTAACACGCCCTGGAAGGTTAGTTACTTCTATTAGCAGATTCGGTTTCACTGGCATATAACTCCCTCCAGATGTACAAAATGGTATTATTGCAAGAGACTGACGTAACCAAAACAACAAAAATTACCTCAATGAGAAAGAACAGGAACCCAAAGATTGCAGGAAAACTAAACCTTCTCTAAAAATCATCACTTCAAGAGAGAGTGCCCACCAAATATAATAATATTTAATATTTATTGAGTTGCTACATGTGTCAGACACAGTTCCAAAGGCTCTGCCTGTATTAGCCCATTTAATCTTCACAATAGCTTTCTGAGGAAAATACCATCATCAAGTCCCATCTTACAGAACGGGCCCAGAGAAGGTAAGCAACTAGCCCAGGGCCACACAGTGAGCCCACGGTTGGACAGAGAGGAAGAAGGCAGAGTGAGGACTGAAGTCCCAGCGGTGCAGCCTCAGAGCCGAGCCCTCACGTGACTCCCTACTGCTCCTGGTGCACATCGCCCCAGGAGTGAAGGGGCTGGAGAATCTCAGGAGGGAAAGATTGGCCACTCCATACTACCCCTCCCTGGAGCTCAAGCTAGTGCTGGCTGACACTGGGTGGAGAGGGTCCCGGGGAGAGGGAGAGGCGGGATTAGGTGCTGAGAGTGTTCTTCATGCAACGTCTGCGCCTGGCAGGTTGAGCAAGCTCCTGGCTCCTTGCCCCACACTTGCACTGACACACTGACCCCGTCCCTGCTGTGCACCCTGTCTGCTGACTCCAAGGTGGATCAACACACTCCTCTCTGGGGCCCCTCCTTTCTCCAGGGCAAAACCTGATGGCAAAGAGCCAAGATGAAATGCCAGAAGAACCTAAGACTCCCTCTCCCAACCCTGCAGCCTGACAGCCTCAAAAGTCAGATTAATGATCCCAGGAAGGGAGGCGAACAGTCTAAGCACCCATAGCCACAGGCAGGCCTTGCACCTTTGTCTGAGCCTTCCTTCCATGATCACTTACTGAGCAGGGGCCGTGTGGGGGCCCACAAAGACGTAAAGAGGTCCCTGCCTTAAAGGAGTTTATAGATCACTAGGATTAGCAAATGCTAGTGTCCACAGTTTCTACACAAAAACAGGAATATGGAATCAGACAAGCACTAAGTATATTTGCAAGAGCAATGGGACAAAATACTTTAAATTGAGGCTATCCCAAATTTAAATTCTGGCAAGGGATCTGTAGGTAATTATCCAACGACAACAAGAAACATATACTTGTGATAATAATAACAGCCATAATTGGGAGCCTTTTCTGAAACACTCAGTAACTTATCTGTGCAACAGCCCATAAGTTAGGCATCATGTCATCATCATTATCCTCATTCTAAGGGTAAGGAAAGTGAAGTTCAAATTGCTGATTGAGTCAATGTCCATCGCTAGGAAGTTCAAGCACCTGAATTCAAACTCAGGTCTGCCTGCTCCCAGGTCTGTGTTCTCTCCACTGTGCCACATGCCTGCATCAAGGTGTCAAGGCAAGGTGGGGTGGGGGACAGATGAACAACTACAGAGAGGTTCAAAGACAGGGGGGAGAGCAAGACCTAAGGAAGGAGAAAACCTACCTTGACTTCCTGACTTAACCAGTGGTTTAAAAAAATAGGCCAGGCATGGTGGCTCACACCTGTGATCCTAGCACTCTGGGAGGCCAAGGTGGGAGGATTGCTTGAGCTCAGGAGTTCAAGACCAACCTGAGCAAGAGTGAGACTCTGCCTTTACAAAAAATAGAAAAATTAGCTGGGTATGGTGGTGCGTGCCTATAGTCCCAGCTACTTGGGAGGCTGAAGCAAGAGACTCGCTTGAGTCTAGGAGCGTGAGGTTGCAGCAAGCCATGATGACACCACTGCACTCCAGCCAGGGCAACAAAGGGAGACTCTCTCAAATAAACAAATGAAAAGATTACCTCCAACCTTCCTCCTCCATCTTCCCACACTCACCCTAGGAGACAGGGAATCATTCCTTCCTTCCTCTCTTCCCCCCCCCATCCCAGAAGGAATGGTGCTGAGTTTCCATTTAGTGACCAAGAATGACAAACTACTCAATATTAAACCTACTGATGGCCCCTCTCTCCTAAAATATTTCAAGGCCTGACTTCAAAAAAGATCCTAATGATACCATGATAATTTATTACATTAGGAGATATATGTGATATATTTATTATCATTTCCTTATTAACTTCTTTTTAATCTGAACACTTAATTTCACTGTCATATCACAAGTGCGTTACTATCCTTTTACATGAGGTTCCAGAATGCTGTTCCACTCTGCACAGCACAGAGCACCGGCCTGCAGGAATGGCGCTGCTCAAGGTCAAAATGAGAAGATAACGGCAAGTGAGCAGGACAAGGTCAGAGCATGAATGAAGAAAATAAGAGAGAAGAGAAAGACAATAAAGAGCCTGCCTGGAAGATCACAAAAGAGGAAGATGAGAGCATGGACGAAAAGAGTGAGAGGAAGAGAATGGAACAGACTGACACTAAGGCAATAGTAAGGCTGGGCGCAGTGGCTCATGCCTGTAATCCCTGCACTTTGGGAGGCCCAGGCAAGAGGATCACTCGAGGCCAGAAGTTCAAGACCAGCCTGGGCAAAACAGCAAGACCCTGTCTCTACAAAAAATTAAAAATTAACCAGGTGTGGTCATGCACACCTATAGTCCCAGTTGCTCAGGAGGCTGAGGTGGGAGGATCGCTTGAGGCCGGGAGTTCCAGGCTGCAGTGAGCCATGATCGCACCACGACATTCCAGCCTGGGCAACAAAGCACGATCCTATCTCTAAAAATAATTTTTTTTAAATAAAATAAATAAATGAAGTGATACTAAGGTCAACAGGAAAAATAAAAATAAATAAAGGGAGAAGCAGTAGAAAAACCATAAACTACAAGTCTTAAAAAGCAAAGTCAGTTCGAAGAAAGAAATGTCACAAATAGCAAAACAGATGGTGGAATGGAGAGAGGGCATCCTACAAGGTAGAAAACAAGCTTCTTTCCTCGTCCACACATATTCTCCAGCCTGTGCCTTGTCTTCCTCAGCTCCAGAGCTAAGGAGAATCGCCCCCACCCCACCACCCACAGCCTCTGTCTGGCACCAGCGCGCCCTATTGTAATTAGCTGTTGCCACGTGGGCTCCCCACACACAGTGATTCCTGGGGCCCTGAGGCCACAACTCATTAATATTTGTAGCTCCACAGCCCAGGACAGCACCTGGAAATACTAGATGCTCAATAAGTATTAAAAGAATGTACAAATAAATGAATGAAAGCCATTTCACCACAAACGGTTGCCCACACGGCGTGGGACCTAAAGACCGAGCAGCCACAGGGAGTATGGGCCCATCGGGCCTCAGCAGTAAACGCCTGGTTCCTGCTGCCCAGAGCAACAAGAAGCCAGAGAAACTTTTCTCCTCCCAGAAATAAATGAGAAAGACTCTGGCTCCAAGTCTCTGCAGATCCTGGTTCCAATCCTGTGCTGACCTCACCCTGCTGTTATGAGCCTGCAGGCCAATTGCTTTGAAAAATTAGATGTGCACTCTTTCTCCACAAACTTATTCTGAATCTTTAAGTAAACTCCCCAAATTGTCAAAATATTTGTTGTATGATCAACGTACTCTCCTTTCCAGACAGTTGAGGTTCCTGGAGACCACATCTGACTTAGTCTAGGAAAAGCAGCTGTTTACTGGTGTTCTCATCGAATACTGTACCTTCCTCCCAGGGGAGTTCGGGAATGAGTAGTTCCTGAGACTCTCAAAATGCAGCTGGCCCTGAAGTCTGTGTTGCTGAGGAGGTGGAGGAGAGGTGTTTGTTCTAAAGCATAAAGCACGTACCTTGACGATGGACCTGCCAACACAGCTGCCCCACTCTCTGGCTTTGCCCTTTAGACTCCTAAGGGAAAGACAGCTTCTAAAAGTCACATCTCGTACATCACTGCTTCTGACCCAGTGGTCATGCATCTTGTACCCAATACGCATGGACAACATAGCCCCCTGGAGATCTAGCACACCCCACTGAGAAACAGAAGTTGTTGCGCTGTTTGATTGCTTCTTCTTCAAAAGGTGGGATCCTTCTGGTACCATGGCCCACATTCCAGCAGAAGTCCTCTTCCTAAGGTTGGTTCCAAAAGCCAGCCTTAGCCACAGGCTGCAGGTACTGAGGTCTGCAACTTTCAAGCCAGTGAATGACCTCCACAGGGGCATTCCGGATGGGGCGGCAGCTGCTTTGCCCGTTAAGATATCCTGTTTGTGGCCTTTGCTTTTTTTTCTAGCCCAGCAATCTGACTGCCGAGCTAGTCTGTGTGCAGAGGTTGAAGCCACCTCCTCTGCAGTCCCCCATGACTCAGGCAGTGCTCGCAGGGGCTGGGCAGTGGCAGCTCAGCAGACCTCACTTGGAAGAATGAGAGCAAGGAAATAGACTCAGGCCAAAGACCTCCCTAGAGAAACCAGGTGGTGGGAGGAGAAGAAGGCTGGGAAAGGAGGAAGTTCAACTCCAGGAAGGGACTAGCTGTGCCAAATGGGTTACTGTGGAAGACTCCAGCTCCAGCCCGTGTGCGCCAGTCCAGCTTTGAGTGGCCATGTGGAAAAGTGGAGGTTTAGAGACCCAGAAGTGATCAAGGATTCTCTGCCATCCCCAGAATGCTGTGGTTATGATCATGACAAAACAAGAGCATGGCATGAATTGAAGTCACAGTCCCTAAAATCAGAGGAAGCAGATCACTTGGATGGCCCTATTCCTCTCAGCCTCTTGTACCTGACAAATCTCAAAATTCAGAAACTTTACAGTGCCTGATCACTCCAACACCTGCGCTTCTAAAGGTTTACAGATGCAGAGCTCATCTGAGATAGAATGCCAGGCAAAGACTTGAGAGAGGCCAAGCTGCTTTCCCGGTCTAGGTCCCTCTTTCTAATCCCAATCCTCACTATCTTCCTCCCTGTGCAGCTGGAGTCTCCAGATGTTCTTGGCTAAGCTCAGCTTGACTAAGATCACTTCCACCCCAGCAAGGGCAGAAGATAGAGCCCTGCAGTCAAGTGTGGTCATAAGAAGTTTGGCGAGTTGGGAGCAGAAGGAACCTTGCCTCCTCTGCTCTGCGGTGTACATCTGTGCAAACGGGTCACCCTTGACAGCACGTGGACGAATTGGAAGAAGAGATTTTCCCAACTCAGCTCCAAGTGAAACTCCACTTGCAACTCCAAGTGAAACAGACCCAGCCCCAAACAGGCGCCCTCACTAACCTGCCTGCCCAGAACAATCTGGATGCCCCTGGACAAGGCCCAGCAGAGAAGGGAGCAGGAGAAACAGCAGTGAAGGAGGGATGCTCCCAGCACTTGTCTGGCCTTTTACTGCAACCCATAAAATATCCCAATGATTCCCCCCATCCAAATACAGGTTTTCCGGGCCCAAGACAGAGCGAGGACAACATGTTACCCACAAGAAATGTAGCAGGTGCTGACCTTGGATCACCTTCCAGTTCTACAGCCAGTGAAAGGAAGCCTGGGAAGAGGTAGGTGCCTGAGAGGACTTAGACGTCCCACACAACTGGGGCGGACGGTTCCCGCCTCTTCAACACCATCCTCATAGCGCCTCCTATCGGCTGTGGAGACAAACTGCGGGTCCGGGGCGGCAACTTCCTGGGTTCCAGCCCCTTAGCGCCTGATCCAGGAGGCGCTGATTGGCCGCGCCAGGCCAACACCTTCGGAAAGAGCGGCGCTCTTGCAGTGGCCCAGATGCACGTGAGCCCGAGCTCCGTGGAGCCTAGGAGAGGTCTCTCCCTGGGTGCCCCAAAGTTGGAGTCGGAAGAGATGAACGAAATTTAAATTTGGGGGCGCTGCGCGGCACAAAGGGTATTTGAAGTGCTAAGGGTAGTGACCCTAAGAGAACGGGGCTATCTGGGTCCAGAGAGGTGGCAGATCAACTCACCTGCCTGGTGAAGAGGATGGCGGTGTCCCAGTACTCAGGGTGCTTGTCACTCACTTTGTTCAGCTTCTTCTGCCAGGCGCAGAAGTTGCGCAGAGTCAGGGCCGCGTTGCCCGTGACCTTGGGCCCGGTGTCACGGTCCCCGAGAAGCAGCACCTTGACCACGACGATGTTGATGGGGTTGAGGATGCTGGGGTGGCGGTAGAGTCGCGCCGCCGTGGCCAGCAGTGTCAGCAGATAATGTTCCAAGTCCTCGCGGTGGAACTTGACCATTGACTCGTCCGCCACCACCAGCGTCTCCACGTACCGCGGGATAGACACGAAGCGCTTGGCGCGCCCGGACCTGCGCCGGCTGCGATTCTCCCCCACGCGCGCCCGCTGCGGCTTGTAAGGGTCCAGGGCCCGCAGGATGGCAGGGTTCCAGCCTGAGGCCACCCCGCAGCGAGACGTGGGGTCTCCGGAAGGACCGCCGAGGGTACCTCGGCGCTGCAGAAGGTGTGCGCCCTGGCTGTTGCGCTGCGCCCCCGGCGCGCTCGCGTTGGGCAGCGGGCTAATGACATACTCGGCGCCTCGGTAGCCGAAGGCTCCGCGTAGCCCCCCGCACAGGCTCACAGCGGCGAACGAGTCGGGCTCTGCGTTCACGTCCCCGGAGTAGAAGCAGCGTCGCAGGTCTGAAGAGCTCCCGGTGAGCCCCGGGAGGGGGACTCCCAGATGCTCAGTGGCGAAGGCGGGCGCCAGAAACTGAGCATCCGGCGTCAGGTGTAGGTAAAAGTCCTCCTGAAAAGCTGTGATCTGAAAAATGAGTCCCTGATCCCCGGAATCCTCGGGACCCCCCCGGTAGTAGTGGCGGCCGTTGATGTCCGGGTCCAGTCGGATGGGGACGACTACCTCCTGCTCTGGCTCAGAGCCGCCAGCGAGTGGCCCGGCGAAAGCCAGGGCAAAGATGCCCAGCAGAAGCATGGCGCCGGCCGGCGCACAGCCGCGCTCTGGGAAGGGGCTTGGCCGGGCTGCCCGGCCGCGGACACGGGCTCAGTGCAGCCAGCACACTGGAACCACCAACGCTCTGGGACAGCCGGCAGCTCCTGGAGAGGGAAGCAAGGGGAGGGAGACGCCTCCGAGAGCAGCGAGCGCGCACCGGGCAGCCCGCGCCTCCTACCTGTGCCTTTCCAAGCAAAGCGCGCCCTGGGAGCTTAAGTGCAATCGCTGTCAAGTGCAAGGACTAAAATTTGCAGCCGAGAACTAGCGGGAGGTGCCGGGCGGCTTCTCGAAACCGCAGCCACTCGCAGCGCAGCAAACCAGGCTCTGGGTGAGCCTATTAAAGGCCCCCTCCTCTTTGGACTGCCCAGTCGGCGCCCCTCCCCTCTTTCCCTTCCCAGCCTCCCAGAGCTCGCAGCCCCGAGCCTCCAGGGGCCACCCGAGAACTCGGTCCCGCCTCCAGAGCGGAGAGCCACTTGGCGGGGAGGGAGTGGCGTTGAGCTGAGGCAGGAGGCGTGGGCTGGCCAAAGAAACCAGTGCTGGAGTCTAGGTTCGCGTTTTGCCCTCGGTTATGCCCCAGTGCCTTGACACATCAGTTACTTCTGCCCCGGTGGACATCTACCCGTCCTCTGGGTCTTAGCCTTTCTCTCGAGGCAGCTCAGGTCAGGAGTTAGGAATGAGGACTCACCACTGACCCCTCCCCAGGCCCTCCTCCTCTCTCCTGTTGCAACATTCCTGCTGTTTCTTAATCACAGAGTCCCCCTAGAAGACCCAGAATCAAGAATTCTCCCTGTAAATGTCCTGTTGCCAGAAAAGCACCTTCCCAGGAAGGTGGAGAGCCCTCCCCAAACCCAGGGCTGCCTGGGCCCAGCGTCCGCCCTGGGGTCATGGTGTGCTGTATGGGCTGGTGCAGACTGTTCAATTTTCAGGAATTTAGCCAGCCAGCTGTTAAATAGCCATTTTTTAATTAAACTATATAAACTTACAATTAAATTCTATTTTGAGCAAAGGCAATCAATACTCAGAATCCATCTCTTCCTAAGTATTTTACTTATTATCTATGATCTTGAGCCACTAGAGCCACCAACCCTCTGGGACAGTGGTCAAAACCTATAACAGCACAGAGGGAGGTGGAACATGAGGGAAATACTAAGTGGAGTGCCACTCTGCACCTCCCTACTCAGGGCCATCCCAACGGACGCTTGACAAAGAGCTCTGGTGGATTTACACCACCTGAATAGGCAAATGCTACCAATCAGGGCTTGAGGGCTGGGGGAGACAGTCCGGGTTAAACATTTACCTGCATGAAGGGTTTGTGGAGAGCAGGTGCTGGGGCTTCAGGTACAAGAGAAAGAGGTTGTCTTCCTGCCAGGAAGTGGCCAAGGGACTGGCAAACAGCAGAAAAATCAGATGCTGCATCTTCCATGGGATTCTGTGCTTTGATTGTTGTCCGGTGTCAGCAAGGGCACTGGTCAAGGCGGAGCGTGGATCAGCTGGAGAAGACACAATAAGCTGTAAGTCACCACCTAGTGTGAAAGAGCCTGTTATACACTCTCCACCTCAGGATCCTCCCTGTCTCTCCAAAGAACCGACTTCTCTCTCTGGTGAGCAAGAAAGAGGCTTTCCTAGTCCCTCCTGATACCTAGAAAATCTTTCTAGAACCAAAGGGCTCTGGTTTGAGTTTGCAAGAGGAAAGGACAGGAGAGGGGAGTGTGCAGGGATTTTAAGCGGAGAAGGGGTGGTGTGGAAGAACTGTGGAATTTTCTTAGGGAAGTGGCTGCTCAAATAAACAACTCTATTGTTGAAGGAAAGAGAAAGCGGGGATGGTGCATCTTTTTGCCCATTATCTTCTCCCCATAAAGGACCCGCTCTCAGAAGAGCCCCCAGGGGCCTTGGAACAGGAAGACGGCTCAGATGCCCATGATTCCACTGGGGCCCCCTCCTTGACTGAGAGGCAAAGAGCTGAAAGTCATTATGTGACTGAGTAAGAGATGGGTGTTTATCTGTAAATGAAAGCGAGAGTACCATATGGAAGGACTGTGGGTGACAGAGCAGGAGTTCAAGTTTACAAAGGCCCTGTGTGTTTGAGTATTCAAAGAAGGCCTATAATTAAAGAGAAACTCAGAAAACCAAGGGCAATGATAAGTCACTTATTTAGGGCAAGCGATTGTTTTTCTACACCTAACAGTTTTAATGTTGGCTTGCAAGGTTTCCAACGACTTTTACTTTCACTGTGACCAGTGGGTTTTGGCAAGTGCTGCAGCATGTCAGTCAAGATAGCAGGCCCAGGGAGAGGAAGCCCCCTCCCTACCAATGTGCTTTGCTTCTCTTTCCCCAATCACAGCCCGACTGTCCTCATCCCTGAGCACAGAATCTGGCCACGTGGAATTGCTCAAAGGCACTAGCGTGTCTTGCAGCCTTACTACGTGCTAAGCACTGCACCTAGAGCTTGATGTGCATGATCTTATTTAATGCTTGCCTGTTCCCCTTGGGAACCTGTAGTTCCATCCAATCAATTTTGCCAGGGGTTCCTAACCAGGATTGGAGGATCTAGGGACATATTGAGCACCTGAGTATAGGTGAGGAACACTCAGGATTGACACTCCATTTCCATCACTGATCCGATTCTCAAACTCTGCATTTCCTCATCTGCCAAAAAAGGAGAGATTATCCTAGATCAGAGGTCTTCAAAGGACTGCATCAAAAACCTCTGGTCTAGATAATAGCTAAGATCACTTCCAGGTCAAATATTACGTGACTGTTTGGGGCCTTCGGAAGCAACACAGTGTGATCAGTAAGAGCACAGGGTCAGAGGTCCTGTGCGTGCCCCTCCACCAGATCCTAGTTGTGCAATCTTGCGTAAGTTACTGTATCTCCCTAAGCCTCATTTTCCTCATTATTAAAATGGGGCTAATAATACTACCCACTTCCTATAGTTGTGAGGATTGAATGAATTAATGCTTCCAAAGTGCTCAAAGTACATTAAAATGGTTCTTAAATGTTATCTAATGGTACTATTAATATCCTTATTAGCTGTTATTATTACTACTGCTTCTACTGCCAAGCTTTACCAGGCCCTCCAAGACCATGCCATCATCATCCTCTGAAGTTTTCTGGGATTTTTAACAGGGAAGGGAGGAAAGCTATAAAGGGTGTGTCCTCTCCCAGCTATGCTCGGGGACTTCCACATTGACTCAAAAGTCCTTCTACACTAGGACTCCACAGCTGCCACCCTCTTGCTTCTCCTGTCTTTTATGATCTTACGATCTTTAGGAAATGAAAACGCAACTCCCTATCTACATATGAGAATGAAAGTACAAAGGAAAAAAAGCAACCCTCTCCCCAGGTAGCCACTGTTGGGGGCCTAGGCCTTTATGCGCTTCACCCACAAGGCTGGTCTCACACCACGTGCAGCCTCCTCAAAGGAGCCTTCCAGAGCCACCCAATCTAAGAAGTCCCAAATCATAACCATTATTGCATGTTTTATTTTTTCCGTTAGCTTTTACCTCCATCTAAACCTATTTTGTTCACTTGCATCTTTACTTTTTCTTTTTTTCAAGAGACAGAGTCTCACTCCGTTGCCCAGGCTGGAGTGCAGGTGCACAATCATAGCTCACTGCAACCTCGAACTCCTGGGTTCAAACGAGCCTCCTGCCTCAGCTTCCTGAGTAACGGGGACTACAGTCCCGTGGGCCATTGTCCCCGGCTAATTGGATGTGTACTTTCTTATTGCCTGACTTCCTCCCACTAGAATAAGAGTGGGAACTTATCTGCCTCGCTCATTATTAAATTCCCCAGGGCCTAACACAGTGCTGGGCACACTGGGACCCTCTATAGATACTGAACGAATGAAATTAGACCTGATTCTAATTTCCACTTGGTCACTGGCTGTCTGTAAAACTTTGGACAAGACACTTCACCTCTAAAATAGGGAAAGGCTACCTTAAGGAGTTGAGTGCCTAGAATACTGCTCCCACAGTGATTAGTTTCCTATCCCTCTCTGACCAAATCCTCAGCCCAGTACACTCATCAAGAAACCCTCGTTTCAGACTTGAGAGAGCTGAGCACCAGAGAGAGGAAGTTACTTGTCCAAGGCTAGCCAGCCAGCTGCTATGTTCATCTCATGAAATCATTCCTCTTTGCTCTTTACCTGCAAACCTAGCTCTGGCTAAATTAATTCTCTTGGCTGCTTGTTCTCAGAAGCTGTTATCTCGGCATGCATATTCATGTAAGCCGTTTCTTCCAAATGGCTCTCCCAGCCTCATCCATGCCTACCCAGATAACCCTCACCTCCTCTAGGAAGCCACTTGATTTAACTCCCACAGCTGCAGGAGCTCTTTTCCCTTAGTTCCTCTTGGTGTGCATGTATTCCATTTCTAGCACAGGCATGTTCAGTTTGAATTTGCTTGCCCTTTGCTAGTTGTGTTAAACCTTCTCCTAAGACAGGGGCACGGCCACGCTGGATCCGAAACTGGTCGGCAGCAGGGCTCCCTTTTCTTCTGTATCAGTCTCCATGGTAGTGCCCAGAGTGCTCGACTGCTTGGCTGAGCCAGGAGCTCACAGGTAACATCAGCCCCAAGAGGTGGTGTCCCGAAGCCAGAAGGACGCAGCCACAGAATTGAGTTTGGAGACTGAGATTTCACTTCTTTTAGATCCTGATTATCCACCATCAGGACCAAGTATGGCTTCTGCCTACCTATAAAATCAAGTATCCTGGAGGATCTTCCCAAAATAGGAGAAAATAATTAAGGATAAAATGAGGGTGTGGGTGTGGACAAGCACTATGATCCAGGCAAGATTTTAACGGGAAGGGAAGTGACTGCAAGAAGTCTCCTGACTCCCCAGATTAGATTTAAAGCAGGTTTTGCACAGCAACATGAAAAAAGATTTACAAATTTGTTTTTCGTGCTTTACATCTTTATCATTCTTTTTCAAAGATCCCTTAAAAAAAAATCCCAGATGTGTCTGATCTGCTCCTCATGGAATCTGTGCTACAAAGATGGGCAGAGCAGACAACATCTAGAAAAGCGCAAACTTTGGGAAGCCCCTTGGAAGGCCCAGAAGTGCTGAGCGACTGAGCTGC